ATGCAGGTCTGTTCTCCTCTTCCCCCCTCCTCCTAGACAGATGAAGGTAGTGTGTAAGCACCTCATTCAAAGCTACTGTGCTGCTGATCATTATCTGCAACACCTCCAGGATCTTTTGCAGCAAGGTAGTTATGGAGACCATGATGATCAGTAGCCTCTCACACAGTCACACCAAACGACTCAACCAAAACCAGCCTGCCAATCACCAACCTCAACCCACAAAGGTGAGGGGTTTGCCTCCCTGTCCTTTATACCTGGTCCAGCTCTGTGCCAGCCAATCGCCTCTTATCCTGGATGGGTGCACATCAGGCTGGGGTAGCAACATCTGTCTCACCAATCACTGATGCCCTGATTTCCCATCAAAGCCTGCTGTCCAATGGGGTGGTTGTCTCCAGGTGGGAAACTGACAACCCCTTCACCTTCTTCTGTCTTGTCTCTGGGCATGGAAGGGTTAGCTACATTGCTGTCACCAATCACTGATGCCCTGATGTCCCGCATGAAGCCTGCAGTCCAATAGGGTAATTGTTCCCAGGGGGCAGATGTTCCATCACATGTATCCCAGTGGAGTCAAGGCATTCCAATGGGATCGCTATTGCGGTCGTTTGGAGTTCTAGTATAGCGATATATCGATATATCGCTATAAATTAAACGTTCAAAAAAGAAAAACGATCGCCTGCACAAGAAGAAAATGGCGGGAAAACAAAGTGGTGCGTGTGTGAAATGCCAAACTGCTTCTGAATCGGCTGAATTCTGGTAGGGGCAAGCCATGTGTGAAATGGCAGCCCTGTACCAGTTCAACTCAAAACAGAAGACTCCCGGCTTGAAACCGGGAGAAACCGGGTAATGTGAAATTCCCCTATTTCTTATAGCAAAATCCAACCAGAGGACTCACTACTCCTTTCAGTAGACCTAGAAAAAGCCTTCGATAGTGTGGAAATTAAATACCTACAACACCTTCCTAAAGTCATGAACTTTGGCTCAAACGTCCGTACAGCTATTCATTCTATGTATTCAGCTTCCACAGCCAGAATTCTTACAAACGAGGACACGAGCAGACCCATCAAGCTACAAAGAGGCACCAAGCAGGGTTGCCCACTATCCCCACTGCTCTTTGCCCTTGCAATTGAGGTGTTAGCTTCTGCCATCAGAACTCATGTTCAACCCAAGGAATTATGATCAACAAAATATGGGGGGGGGGCGGAGCATCGGCCGAAAATGGTGGACGCATTCTAACTACGCTCCAGACAAACCTCCGAAAACCCCATTTAAACAACAACTTTCACCAATTGGGACACTGTGCAAGCTATGGGAAGAAACACCGAAAAACGGCAGAAACACGGAGAAACAAAAAAACCCCAGCTCAATTCCTTTTTTAATTTGCAAACAGCGACTGGTGGCCCCAGGATAATGAACAGGAAAGAAGACAAAGTGGCGACCGGAGAAGTAAGAGGTGGTGAAAATACGCAACAACTTACAAAAGCAGACTTGATAGAATCTCTGAGAATATTTAAAACCGAAATCTTAGAGAACATTAATGAGACCCTGAAACCCCTAGCCGACCAGCTAGAGTCTCTTACAATCGCGACACAAAATGCCACACAAACGGCTGATACAGCCCTTGAGATGGCAATCACCAACCAAGAAGATATTCAACGATTGCAAGCTAACAAAACATGGGCACGAGAGCGAATATTGCTCCTAGAATATCGCTCCAGAGAACGTTTCTTAAAATTCAGAGGATTTCCTGAATCTGCGGAAGGAAGGGAAGAAATAACGACATTCCTTGCAACATGGCTCACCAAAGTCATTCCATTCGAACACGACATGGTACCACTGCTACTTAGAGCATATAGGCTAGGGCCGAAAACTACCGATAAATGGAAGGGTCCATGAGACATTATTGTGGAATTTATGGATTTATCTATCAAACACAGAGTTCTGCAAGAGGCCAAAAGCAAAGGCTCCTTTAAGTATAATGATACAGATATACATGCTTTTCCTGACATCTCACCGGAGGCGCTACAGATCCGAAGGAATCTTAAAGACATTACAAAAAAGCTACAAGATGCACAAATTAAATATCGATGGGCTTCCACAGGCTACTTACAAGTTCGCTACAAAGGCTCCAGTTTTCAGGCAGATGACTATGAATGTGGACTTGCTTTTCTGAAGGAAATCGGAATACAAATCCCTCAAGAGATGGACATGGACCCATCGCAGCAAAAGAAAAGGAAACGTGATGAACAAGGAACTCCACACAAATGGAATCAGATTCCAGTGAGAAAACGTATGGACCTCTAAGTATAAATAAGAACATTACAATAGTTCACACAGGCAGATCTTTTTTATTACACTATGGTGAATTTCATTACTATCTCTCTCTAGGTAATTAAGGGGGGGATTGGTTCTGGGGTGGTTGGAAGAACCTCCAATATGGTTGATCTTTTTTATATATAAGTTTGATACTCTGCACAGCAGTTCCACTAGAAGAGCACAAGTTGCTCAATGTGAGATTCAATCACACCTGCGAGAGCTGTGACCAAATAGGGAAAGGGATAATTAAAGTCTACATCTTAAATCAATATTCTGTTAAGGGAAGGGAGGGAGAGGGAGGGATGGGAGGGGGTTATGAAGGAAGGATTTCTAAGGCATGTTCTAAAGAGTTAATTAAACACTAAGTTATGTATGTTAAAAGTTCTAATCATAAAGTTGATATGAAGGGAAGGGAGGGGGGAGAGGAAGGAGGGGTTTCCAGACTGTGTTCCAAAGGTTCCACTAACTATTGCACTGGATCTAGATGGGGAGCTATCTATAACCTGTTATATAAAAAATGTTATCGTAAGCATATATTACCAGTTACCTACATTTTAAATTTGGGAATTTCAGGGTATATCCCTGTACTGCATCTTAAGTTTTAAAAGTGTCTTTTTAAAACTCATCTCAGATCTCAAGTTAGTAAATTAAGTATTTGTATTCCTTGGCTTTTCATTATTGACAATTACATTGAGTTTAATGCACTTACAATCTTTCATTCACGCTATTCCAATGACTGAATTAAAAATCACCACTCTTAATTGCAGAGGAATTAATAACAAAATTAAAGCAAAATGTATAGTTAATGATTTTAAAAAGAGTAAATTTAGTATTGTTTTTTTACAAGAAACATATATCAAAAGAAGTCATATTGCTATACCCTCTACGTGGTATTCCACCCAAGTACTGTCATATGGAACTTCTAAAGCTAGAGGGGTGGCCATATTAATTGCTAAAGCAATTAAATTCCAAATCACAGAAACCAAAATAGATTTGCTGCGTCGCTATGTTTTTATTAAAGGAACTCTCAATGAGAAACCAATGACACTAGCAATCTTGTACGCACCAAACACGCATCAATTTGACTTTTTATCTGAAACACTTGAAAAACTCCGGCTTTTTCAAACTGGGACAGTTATTTTAGGAGGGGATTTTAACTGGTTGATGAACGATAATTTAGACAGATCTTCATCAAAGGACAATAAAAACCACAAAAACTAAATAAATCAAACAAAACCTTGAACAAATTTAGTACACTTACGGTGCACCACCACCTGCATGATATATGGAGAAAACAACACAAATTGGCCAGGGACTACACTTATTATTCTAAACAATTTAAATCGTATTCTAGATTGGACTACCTATTTATATCTGATGATATGGTAAACCAAGTATCTTCATCTGACATAGGAGTACAGACATGGTTGGACCATGCTCCAGTGGAATGTTCGATTAGAACTAATAATCTGACTCAGAGACATTTTTACTGGAAATTCAATACAATTTTATTGTGTGAAACAAAATTACGAGAACAACTAATGCAGGAACTTAACACATCTTTTAGTAGGGAAAATGAAAATAACACTTCGGCTCAATTGATGTGGGAAACTTCCAAAGCACTGTTGCGCAGCAAATGCATCTCTTTAATGACTTACTGCAAAAGAGAAAGAGAAAAACAACGTCAAGAATTAATTACTACCATTCACAAATTAGAAACCTTACACAAAAGAACATGCAGTAACAAAGTATACCGCAGACTACTTAATGCGCGCAAACAATTAAAATTATTAGACACATCATGGATACAACAAACAGACTTCAACAGGTGCAAAAATAATGTTAAGAGTAGCTCCAACCATCTGCGATACATTTCTTGGAGAATTAAAAAAAGACTAACAGAAAGACATATAACAAGTCTCAAAGAGAAAAATGGCAATATTAAACACTCAACCAAGGATATTATCCAAATAATGGAAATTTTTTATAAGGAATTATACACTTCCTCCAATCCCACTCAAAATAATATTCAAAATTATATTACAAGTAATTAGGTAAAGGTAAAGTTTCCCTTGCTCGAAAGCCAGTCGAGTCCGACTCTAGGGTTGCGGTGCTCATCTCCGTTTCAAAGCCAAAGAGCCAGTGCTGTCCGAAGATGTTTCCGTGGTCATGTGGCCGGCAAGGCGCACAGAACGCTGTTACCTTCCCACCAAAGTGGTACCTATTTATCTACTTGCAATTTCTTGCTTTCGAACTGCTAGGTTGGCAGGAGCTGGAACTAGAGACGGGAGCTCACTCCATCATGCAGCAATCCGGGTCTCAAACTGCTGAACTACTGACCTTCTACAGCCTGCAGTTCAGCGTCTCAACCACTTGAGCCACCGCTCAATTAAACCAAGAACATATTTTTTTAAATAAATTTTATTAAATTTCAAAACATAACAAATATCTCAACACAACTCCAGAACGGTAACCATTAAACAGTGAACGGTTATGCAACATCTTGGAAGTATAAAAAAAGATATTATAAAATACAAATCGAACAGGCACAGCAAACATATTGAGCTAAGTTATATAAAGGTAATAATGTCTCTATAAATGTTTTGTCTATTGGGCAATAGCTGAGGAGAGGTACCTATGATATATTCAGTGAACTGAAGCCATTTAATCAAAGTACTGGACGTCCGGCCCAATGTTTCGGACGTGCGCAAGGAGTCAGCGATCTTGTCCATAGCCAAAAGTTCCCAAATCTTAGTGTACCATCTGTCAGTTGAAATAGGATAAGGGTCTTTCCAACTTGCTGCCACTATCATTTTGGCTGCCAACAATAACATGTCTATTAATTCCTTATAAATCTGCGGAATATTTTTAGTTTTCCAAAGACCCAGCAGGACCAATTCAGGTGCATAGTCTAGTGTGTATCCAGTGATATCCGTGATATGGTTTAAGACGGTTTTCCAAAAGTTATTTACAATCGGGCATGACCACCAGCAGTGTATAAAAGTACCGTATTCACCACACTTCCTCCAGCATAGTGGAGAGTATGCTGGCATAATATTGTGCAATAAAGTTGGAGTTGTATACCAGCGCATCAGTAATTTATAGCTTTGAAGGCGTATATTTAGGGAGGGTGAATTTAAGGTCGAGGAAAGCCATATCCTGGACCAGTCCTGCTGGGTCAATGTGCTGGAGATATCTAATTGCCATTTCCGTTGGTAGCTGAGAGGTTGCGATGAGTAGGATTCTATCAACAATTTATAAATGATAGATATTGTGTTACGATAGCAAGTCTTTTGTTTCATTAACTTTTCGAAAGAGGTGATTGTTCTCAAGGATTTATTGCCCAATTTCCAGTTTCGAAAGAGTGAGGCTAATTGCATGTATTCCAACCACGGAATCTGGTGTTTAAATTTACACTCTAAATAATCCTTTTGTGCAAATTCCTTTCCTTGGAGTAAGTCTACAAAGCGTGTACATGCATTTTGTTTCCATAATGAGAAGGATTCTTTCTGTCTGGCTGGGGGGGACCATGATTGAGATGTAAATGTCGTTAAAGGTGAGGGGGATGGGGCTATTAAATTTCGACACTTGTCCCATACACATAATAGGTTATCTAAAAAGGGATTAACGTGAGTATCTGTGTTCCTAAGATTAGGTTTCTCCCATAACACTGATGAGATTGAAAGTTCACCTAGAAATTGTTGTTCAACTAGTTTCCAGTCCAAAGTCAAGTTTGAATTGTAAAACTTCAGAAACCCCAAAAGGGAATTAGCTTCGTGATATAAGGTGAGGTCGGGAAGGGCCAAACCTCCTTGTGTAGTTGGTCTTTTTAGCATATTAATACTGACTCTTGGCCTGGAAGACTTCCATATGAATTTAGAAAAGGCAGATTGCCAAGTTTTAAAATACATTTTGGGGATTTTGATGGGGAGGGTACGAAAAAGATACAAAAATTATGGGAAAATGAAGGATTTAATTATTTGAATTCTTTCCATCCATGAGGAAAATGCTATGTTTTTACTTATAGAATCCGTGTTAAAAAGGTTTTTTAACGGTGAGAAGTTGACTGTTAAGAGATCATCTAAATTGAGAGGTATCTGAATTCCCAGATATGACCAATTCTTGGTAACCCAACTAAAGTCATAAGTGGACTTGAGGTATTTTTGGATCTCAGAGGATAGACGTATTGGGTAAAGTTGCGTTTTAGAGGAATTGGCTTTCAAGCCACATATGGTGCCAAATTGGGCCAATAAGCTTCGTAGTGAAGGGAGGGTGTAGGGTTCGAAAGGGTTAAAACTAGATCATCGGCAAAAAGACTGATTTTCATGTGTCGGGAACCAATTTGTATTCCTTGAATTTGAGAATGGTCTCGAATGGCTTGGGCTAAGGGCTCTATGGCTAGGGCAAATAAAAGGGGTGACAAGGGGCATCCTTGCCGAGTACCTCTGGCTAAGTGGAAAACAGTTGTGTCTGAGTTATTAATTTGAATATAAGCCTGGGGGTCCGAATATAAAGCAGTTATTGTTCTTGAAAAAATAGGGCCAAAATTCATGTCTTGTAAAATATGCTGCAGATATACCGGTTCAACTGAATCGAATGCTTTTTCCATGTCAACGGAAATAATGAAGGAGGAATCAATATTCTTTAGTCTACAAAAATGAATGATATCTATAATTTTCCTAACATTGTCCGTGATATCCCTACCTGGGATAAATCCGGTTTGATCATAATGTATGTACTCAGAGATTAATTTATTGAGTCTAGTGGCCAGGGTGGAAGTAAAAATTTTGTAGTCCACATTTAAAAGAGAAATGGGACGATATGAACTTGCTTCATAAGGGTCTTTGTCTTTTTTCAAAATAACTATTATTTTAGCTAAATTCCATGTGGAGGGCATTAGGCCCGATTGCAAGATGTTATTACAAGTATGAGTTAGGTGAGTTAAAAGAAGAGGGTGGAAATTTTTATAAAACTCAGCTGTAAAGCCGTCAGCACCTGGCGATTTATTGTTCTTAAGAGATTTGATGGTATGTAAGTTTTCCTGAGTGGTAAAAGGTTCATCTAACCACTTTTTGTGGGCGTCAGTGAGGATATTCTGTAGTGGGTGCTGGGATAAAAATTGCCTAATTTCACTGGCCTTAGGTCCTGTGGATGAATATAGTTTTCGATAAAAATTGTAAAATATATCTTTAATTTCCTTCGTAGAATGTCTAATATTTCCTGATCTATCCTTAAGGGCTGTCAACATATTCGCTGCTCGTTTTTGACGGACTTTCCATGCTAATAAACGTAGAGATCATCGTCCCGCTTGCCAGTATTTCTGCTTAGTATAAACTAATTGTTTCTGGATGGCTGAAGTCTCTAAAGATGCTAGTTTTTTCCTCTCTAACAATAATTTTTGGTAGGTCTTTTTCCCACCCAGGGATTTAAATTTAAACTCCAATTCTTCAATTCTGGCCAGTATTTCTGATTGTATTCTTTTCTTTTCTTTTTTATAGGCACTGGTTTGTGAGATAATTGTGCCCCTAAGGACAGCCTTAAAGGCATCCCAAATAAGATGCTGTGGAGTGCCACAAGAAGAATTGAGCTCAAAATAATCTGTTATGCTTTTATTTATAGTCTCAGCAATATGCGGGATCAATAAAAGCGAAATATCGAGCCTCCAAGTGTAACTTTGTGTATCTTGTTCAGTACCTAACATCGAGCACGAGACTGGGGAATGATCAGACCAGAGGCACATACCTATATCTGCTAAAGGGAACCGATCTATAATATGGGTTGTTACTAATATGTAGTCAATTCTTGTGTGCACTTGGTATTGGGCTGAAAAATGAGTATAATTTCTTTCGCTGGCGTGTCTAAGCCGCCAAAGGTCACAAAGCTGAAATTGGTTTAAAAGCTCCACCAGATGCGTATCAGAGTCCGCTGGGGTTTTGTGCGGTTTAAAAGGCTTGGAGGGACAATACGTTCTATCTATATAATTGTTTGCCACATAATTAAGGTCACCGATTATGGAAGGGTAAGAACTGAACATGGCTAATTTAACTAACGTTTGTTTTAAAAATTGAAGTTGGCCTGAGTTCGGAGAATAAATGGAAACTAATACCACATGTTCTCCATTCAAAGTCCATGCTACAAAAATAAACCTCCTGTTCGGGTCTTTCTCGATTTTTTCTGTTGTAAATCTAACATTTTTACTTAAAAGAATGGCTACGGCTCGAGACTTTGAGGTGCCGGCGGCCATAAATTGTTGTGAAAACTTGTGACTATTAAAAATTGAATGGTGTTGCTTCCTAACGTGAGTCTCTTGCAATAACGTTATGTCCGATTTTTGAGTCAATAAAGCATTCATAATCCTCTTCCGTTTGATACAATTATTAATTCCTCCACATTTAAGAGAGGTAATATTAATATGTGGTGCATACATAAAATCTTTTGCAACAATGACTTGTCAACCAATAATATACTCTATTTGTGAACAAAAATGAGTCAAGGAATCCCTTGTGGAGAAAAAGACGCCTAGACCTTTCCCATCTTGATGCTAAATCGGCATTTGAATATAAGACTATTAAACACATCTTAATCATATGACATTCAGATAATAGGTGTAAAACAAGAACCTTAAGAACTTGCCTAATAAAGAAATACAGTTCTACCCTTATTGTATGTAACACTTTCCGAGGGTGCTGTAAGAAAAAATACAAAACAGCGAACAACAACATTAAACATTCAAACCAGCGTGGAATCCTGCTACACATTTAGATTCCCTATATTCTAAGGGAGAATAAATGTTATCAAAGGTTGGGGAATAACGTTTCCCAAAAATAGAAAGTTGTGGGCTTTAACTTCCGAATACAGAAAAAAAACAAAAAACAAAATTAGGGGAGCTAAAACAGTGTAACACTCCCTCCCCCCCTTTTGCTTATAAGTAATAATGCTAGACATGTACAGCCTATAATATCTTAGAATAGAAGAGAAAAACAAGTAATAGCAGTTCCTCAATTGAAAGTACATTCAGTGAGTGACAAGGTTACTTGTATCTGAGTTTTCCTTTTTTTTTTTTGCCAACACTGTGCTGCCCGGTGTGAATCAGGTAGGTCGTCATCTTGAGTTGAGGTGTCTGGAGCTTCAAGGTGAAGGACTTTTAGAAGCGTCAGTCCAGAGTCTAAATCTGCTGCATGTAAGGTATGATCTTTGTGGATCACTTGTAATTTGCAGTTGGAGACCCATCGGTACTTGATCTTTGCAGCTGATAATGCCGATGTAATGGGTTTCAAAACCTTCCTCCTATGAAGAGTTTCCGGAGAGAGGTCCTGCAGGAGTTGAATTTGTAGCTCTTTAAAAGGCAAGTGTCCTTTGGCACGAGCCTGTTTCATAATGTAGGTTTTGGTGTGGAGTTGGGAAAAGCGCACCACGATATCTCTCGGCCAAGCAGACTGTTGTTGGGGCCTTAGAGAGCCCAATCTATAGGCATAGTCGAGTAACGGGGCTATCCTGTCTTCTAGCTGCAATGTTGAGGCAAGCCAAGAGGCAGTAAATGTCGTCAGTTCCATATTCTGCTCAGCATTCTCAGGAAAGCCACGAAATTTCACATTGTGGGCTCGAAATTGGTTCTCCAGAGATAAGATCTTGTCGGTGGCCCATTCCTCTCTTTGCAAAAGGAACTGCGTGTCAACCTGCACATCGACGCTAGTCTCCATAGCCGCTTCTGCGGTCTGTGCAACTTTTTCCCGAGCGTCTTTCAGCTCTGTAATTTGTGAGACAATAGGTTTTAAAAGTTCAACTGTGCAGGCTGCCATATTTTTTTCTAGGTTTTCTAAAGTTCCAAAAAATTCCTCTCTAGTAACCGGAATGCCTTCCCCTTGAGGGCCTTCTCGCTCGTCCACCATTTTGGCTTCATTCGGGGCTGTCGTGCCCGGAGATTGAGAGATGGTTTTTGGGGAAAAGAAGGAATCCACCGACCTTGTTTTAGTCTGTTCTGGTGCCTGCCGGGTACGCGTGTTTTTCCCCATTCCAGGTGATAAATTGAGAGGCGATTTAAGGCTGTACGCTACTGATAAGGGGGGGAAACGCGGGAGCTCCAAAGTTAGGCGCCCATCAGGCTTCGCTGCGACGCCATGCCCCCCAAACCAAGAACATATTGAGCCACTTGAAACTGAAATATTTATTTATTGATTGATTCGATTTTTATCCCGCCCTCCCGCCGAAGCGGCTCAGGGTGGCTCACAACATTAAAACCAATAAAACAATGCCTTTAAAACAGTCTATAACAGTATGATAAAATCGCAATTTACACACAGTACAACATACCCATGGCGGCAACCATAAAGTGCTCTCATGGTTGATCTAGGTTATTAAATGCTTGGCGGAATAGCTCCATCTTCACCGCTCTACGGAACTGGCGGAGATCCCAGATAGCGTGGATCTCATGAGGGAGCTGGTTCCATAGTGTTGGTGCAGCCAAGGAGAACGCCCTAGTTCTAGTGGTTGTTAGTTTGGCGTCCCTAGGGCCAGGGAGAACTAAACGGTCCTGCGACTCGGATCTCAGTGCTCTCGGGGGAACGTACGGGGAAAGGCGGTCCCGCCTCTCACAACAAGAAATAGAATCTGCTATTAAGCACTTAAAAACCAATAAAACACCAGGCCCAGACGGGATTACAGCTGAGTATTATAAAACATTTTCAGTTATCCTCGCCAAACCACTCCAGGACACTTTTAATGCTATTTTAAGCTCAGGTAAAATGTCAGAAATATGGGGTATGGCAAATGTTATCCTTATTCCAAAAAAGGGAAAAGATAGCACCGATCCTTAAGCCTACCGCCTCATTTCCCTGTTAAACACTGATTATAAAATTTTTACTTCAATTTTAGCAGCCCGATTAAAAAATATCATAGCTAACTGTGTCCACCAGGATCAATTGGGATTTATACCCTCAAGAGACATATCAAATAACATCCGGAAGACGCTTAATATAATTCATTTAGCAAAATTAAGTATCCAACAACAATCTCTTTTGCTTTCAATCGATATGGAAAAAGCCTTCGATTCATTAGAACTTGGTTATTTAGAGACACTATTGCAGTATATGAATTTTGGACCCATATTTCCGAAATTTATTCATGCTATATATCTTTCACCAAAAGCAACTTTATTAATTAATGGTATGAAATCTAATACTTTTACGTTACACCGCAGCAACCGTCAGGGGTGCCCACTTTCCCCCTTACTCTTCATTTTAGCCATTGAACCATTGGCATGTGCATTAAGAGCCAATCACTTTATTTCTGGAATTACTGTCAAAGATTCAGTGTTTAAAACAAGTTTATTCGCGGATGATATCATTATTTATGTTTCTAATCCCCTAAGATCACTACGTGAAGTAGATCAAGATTTAACAAAATTTGGAGATATAGCCGGGCTCAAAATTAATCAAACTAAATCCACAATTTATGCCATTAACTTAGCAGAATCCACCAAACAAGACATCCAAAAATTTTACAAGATCCAATGGACATCTAAAACTCTGCCCTATTTAGGAATCCATATGCCGCTTAATCTTAACAACCTTTTAAAAGTTAATTATTCAGATCTTCATACCAAGATAAAAAAATCAGATTTCTATATGGAACAAGCATTTTTTTCTCTTGGACTGACAAAATCTGCATACTAAGATCCTATATTTTATCTAAATATCTATATTTATTTCGCACCTTACCAATTTATATTAATAATCAACAACTAAAGAAATGGCAAAAGGAGATCAATCAGTTTCTATGGCATTTTAAAACACCACGTATTAAACATGACACACTACGCAGATCCTGGAAGAAAGGAGTTTTGGCAGTTCCAGACTTGCAGTTGTATTACACTGCCACAAACCTAGCAACCATGCTGCGTCTATATCATGATGATGCAACACCAGAATGGAAATACATGAAACAGCCTAATCAATAAGACATTTATCCCAGAATTACTCTGGAAACGCAACAGCAGAGAGACTCTAAGTAAAATTTCTAATCCCCACTTAAAAACTACAATCAAACTGTGGTATCACTTTAAACAGAGAATTTCTTCTATAAACTCTAAACTGAGTACCTTTATAGGCCAAAACTGGTTCTTACCTGCCAAAGGAAAAAATACTTACCAAACTTGGAGAGAAGCAAACCTCACGAGAAATATCGATGTACTTCAAGCCGGGAAATTGCCTCCTAGACCGGACCTAGAAAGGAAGCACAATATAAAAATTAACTGGTTTGAATATCTACCATTTCAAAACTTAATTAATGTACCCAACTTTAAAAAATCTATAATGGAACCTCCCACAAGTTTTGAATTACTACTACTAAAACCCTACAAGAAAAAAGGTTTAATTGCACTAATTTACAAACAGCTACTGGACTCATACTCATCCACACTCACTCCATATCAAACTGCATGGCATAAAGAAATGAACCAAGAAATAGCCAAAGAACAATGGACGGACATTTGGAAAACCCAAAAAGCTATTTCCAATTCCCTACTTGTACAAGAAACATCAATCAAAGTAATGCACCGCTGGCATTTAACTCCAGTGAAATTAGCTCATATACATCCCCAATTTTCCTCAGCATGCTGGAAACTATGTGGCACCAAAGCAAACTACATTCATAACTGGTGGACTTGCACTAAAATACAACACTTTTGGAAGCAAGTTATAAAGCAAATCAAATTACTTACTGGTTATAACGTACCCCTGGATCCAAAAATAATACTACTTAATCTTTGGCCCCCTGAAAAGTACCCTTTAAAATCTCAGCAAATAATCAATATTATGAGCACAGCGGCTAAAGTTGTAATCACTGGGAAATGGAAAGATAAACAAATACCCACTATCACTCAATGGATACACAAACTTTGGGACTTCTTTCTATTAGAAAAATTTTCGATTTACAATAGCATACACCAGAACGAATGAGAATTTTATAACCCCCTAGATAAATGGAATCCTATTCTTGACAAAATTACAATTGACAAATTCGACTGGGAAACCATATCTACAGCTAAATACCAAATAATGTTGTATGGATAGCAATGCAGATCAATATGTTAGCTCTCTTTTCTTTTACTAGATAGCATAAGGTTATGGTTAGAGATAGAGTTTGTAATGGTTAAAGCTCGAAAAGTTTATGAAGTTAATTATTATTATTTTTTATATCTGATGTTTGAACATTGGCTTTAATAATGACCAAACAATGTACCCTCTCTTTTTCTTTTTCCTTTTGGAACCATGTTAATGTTCTGTTCATTGATACTGTAACAACAAAGTATTCATATTTTCAATAAACACTTTTTGGGAAAAACATTCGGTGTATTTTGGGGAAAAATACAACATTCGGTGAGTCTATATGCTGATGATATGATCATCTTTCTCTCCAACCCAGAAAAGTCATTATTTCATTTACAACACCTGTTTAAGAAGCTATATCTGGTCACTGGCCTGAAAGTGAACCTACAAAAATCAAAAATCATACCAATTAATATCAACGAGGACACAAAAGGCAGGCTTCGTTCTACTTATCCATTTCAGTGGACATCAAATAATTGGAGATGCCTTGGCGTGATAATACCACCTGACCTAAAAGATTTACTTCAATGCAACTTTCACAATGCCTTTAAATCAACAAAGAACTCCCTACGTCAATGGAACCTCTTTAAACCATCTTGGGCTGATAAAATTGGACTACTTAAAAGCTTCATACTAGCTTCATACTAGCTAAGTTTTTATTCTTATTCAGAGCCCTGCCAATCCTCATCTCACAAAAAGATCTGACCAAATGGCAATCAGAGCTTAACAAGTTCTTTTGGAGCTACAAAAAACATAGGATTTTTTTTTCAACACTTAGGTCTCCTGCAGCTAAAGGAGGCCTAGATCTACCTGATTTATCGTTATACTATGCTGCGGCCTCTTTGGCTGACTCGGTCAGACTTAACAGCAACATAGATCCCCCTTGGAAGTGGATTGAAGAAATCTACACATCCCTAATACCATTACAAGGTGTCTTTTGGATGGTTCCATCAGACAGACCAGGAGACTGTAAACATAATCAATACCTACAAGCAGCACTGACAATTTGGGATAAATACAAAACCCCCCTACTACCCTCACAATCTCAAGCTTCCTCCTTTCTCAATCAGACATGGTTTCCTCCCAAAATGAAGGAACTCACCCATATAGACTGGAGGAAAGCTGGAATATCTCGTCTATTTGAGCTAACAAACAAAGGACTTCCACAAAGATGGCGGCGCCACGGGGTGTTTGTGCTTGCACGCCCGCGAGGAAATGATAGAATGAGCCGAGAAACACCGAGAAATAGTGCTTTGGCATTCCAATGCATTCCTGTGCAGGCTAATTTGAGCGCTAACCTGAATAACCTCCTGGGCCCTCGGAAGGGGAAAGGTTGTAAACCTCCCTTACCAGCACGACTGTGGAGCCTCCCTGGGCCAGCTTGCGGGGCACGGTTCCCGCCCGACGGGTCCTCGGGTCTGTGGATTAGTGCAGAGACACAGCCGGCGGTGGCGGTGCCCTGGGGCGGTGGTCGGAGCCGGGGCTTGCGGAGACTTGAACATCGGGGTGCGCCGAGCGGTGGCGGAGTTCCTGGGCGGCCCCGGACATGGAGGGAGACCACCGGAGGCGTGCTGGGCGGCGGTGGTGTTCCTGGGCGGTCCCGGCCCCGAGGCAACCGGAGGAGACCATCGGGGACGCGCCGGGTGGCGGCGGTGCTCCTGGGCGGTTCCGGCCCTGATGCAACGGGGAGAGACACCTGGGACTGCAGGGAACGGAGCGCGGCTGGCGAGGGGACTGGTGGCGTCAGCGGTGCTGAGTCTGCGGGGAGGAGAGGCGGGGCTGCCGGTGGAGTCCTCTGGAATAGCTTCTTCCCTCCCCCGAGGCCCTTTGATCGACTGATGGTCGACGGGGGGCCGTCGCCGCTTCGGGCGCAGCCGAGGGTAGAGCGTTCCCTGGAGCCCCTTGGGAGAACAGGGGACGAAGTCAGGTCCACGGTATTGCAGTGGTGGAGTGGCCCTGTGAGAGAGGGCAAAGACCGGTGGGGTAGCCCTGTGAGAGAGGGCGAAGACTGAAGTAGTTCCCTATTGCTACGGGGTGTGGAGTGGCCCTGTGATAGAGGGCGAAGATCGAAGGAACCCCCTCCCTACTGTTCTGTAACGGTGGAGTGGCCCTGTGAGAAAGGACGAGGCTTGCCCAGAGTATTGGTCCGTGGAACGCTTGGAAAGTCTAGGGCCCATAAGATCTGAGGCCAAGGAGGGAAGCTATTGTTAATAAGTCAAATTGGAGTGGGTCCAATAGTAGTTCCTGTTGTGCTGTATGGATGTATGAAATGTGATTGGATGTCTGAACTCTAGTGCCAGTAGTCTGAAGGAAGGTGATTGTGTTTTATTGCCAGGTTTTAGAGATAAATTAAATCGTTAATACTGTTTAGTGTTTAATTGTTAGCAATGAATTGTGATTAAATTAAGTTATTGTACTAAGCTAACGATCATTCTGTGAAAGAAGTGTAATAGGAATTAATATAGTTTACTGCCCTTCTATGAATGGGCAGAATATTGTATATGGTAGTAGCGATTTTTGGAAGAATAATTTAGGAGAGGCTGAGGATTGACCTGGTAGGGTTAGAGCAGGGTTGTACTGTACATTAGAGAACCTTTGGGTTATTTTTGTACTGCAGGGAATTAGAGAGGGGTAGAGTAAGTAGGGTGATAGAGTGGACCCATTTGATTTGATTTGATTGAATGTGTTCGATCTAGCGCTGTTGAAATTCGTCTGTTGATGGAATTGTCCAGTGTAGCCAATATTAGAACCTGTGGCTACGGTATTGACCAGCTGTTATCGCTATGCCGGCGCAGCGGATTCCGGTGCTCTTGGGGAGGGGAAAGTATAGCGGTGGGTCTAGGCAGTATATCAAGGGAAGGGCCCTGAGAAACGGAATGGCTTGGTGCCCTTCCAGCCTACGACCCATCCCAAGGGAGGTTGGCAGTGGGGCTCGGATGATGAACCCCTCTCTGTCATTGGTGTACTGCAACGCCAGGTCAATTAACAACAAGACGACAGTCCTTCGGGACTTCGTCATGGAACAACAAGCGGACCTGGCGTGCATGACTGAGACCTGGGTGCGGGATGGGGAGACTATTGCTCTCTCCCAACTTGCCCCGCCTGGGTTCTCAGTCGTACATCAATCACGGACTAAGGAGCGGGGGGGAGGAGTGGTGTTGTTCGTTCGGGAGGCTTACTCCTTCAGGGCCCTCCCCTCACCGGAGATCGCGGGCTTGGAGTGTGCCGGCCTGGTGCTGGAGACCGAGGAGAACTTGGCTATCTGGCTAGTGTACCGACCGCCTAACGCACTGGCCAGTGGCCTGCCGTCCCTGCTGGAGGCCGTGTCTGGCTGGGCGTTGGAGCACCCGAGGCTTCTGGTCCTGGGTGATTTCAACGTCCATGCCGATGACGCGGCCTCCGGCCGGGCTACGGACCTAGTGTCGTCC